GCTATATTTGTTTTAGCAGAATCATTTTTGAAAGGAAGTTGTAGATATCCTGACACTTCACCTAAATATTTTAGCTATTTCCTAAGAAACAAGGACATTCTTTATAACCTTGCTACCATTGAAACACCCCAAAATAGCATTGATACAATATTATCTACTATGTAATCCATATTCAAATTTCCCCAAGTGTTTCAATTATTTTTTTACTCCCAAGTCTATTTGGTTTTATGTCTCTACTTTCCTCTAATCTTTAATAGTCCCTATTCTACAAATTTTTTAGTCATTTGTATTTTGTAGAGTCTTAAGTAGGATGTCTTATAGATAGAAAACCATCTGATTGCTTCCTCAAGATTAGGTTGAGGATGCAAATCTTGACAAGAGGACTTAGTAGGTGATGTTGTTTAATTTCTGTGGTATCACATATTGAAGGTACATGTCAGTTTGGCCTATTCTGAGTTTTGGCACTTGATCAAAGTGGTCTGTTACAAAAATGCCTTTTCCTCTGTAAATAGTTAAGTATTTTGAGGTCATACTGTGAGATTGTGTGCATATTCAGTTTCTGACCTTTCATTCAGTGGTTTTACATCATTGAAGATCCTTTCCTAAATCAGTTATTACCTTGAGGATTACAGAACTGTGATTTTCTAATTTTATCAATTATTAGCTGGCATTCTTCTGTTTGAAGGAGCCTTCCCTCTCCCCCGCTTTTTAGTATTACTATAGACCTGTAGATTCTTTTCTGTTTAACCTCTTATACTGTTACTCTCATTCTTGTAGAAGCTCAGAGAGTTCCACATTTTTCCAGTGGAAGCCCCTTTTCTATATCCTTTTGACATTTTCCTCTTAGTCTGTGATCACTTGGCTTACTTTCTGGCACAAGCTGTTTCAGGCTCATCTTATACTTTACCTGTTTCCAGATCTGGTATCAGCAGTTTCTCCAAGGAGCCCTGCTTCTTTTCAGTGGGGGATAGACTTTAGAAAACAAATTCTGGGGACCAGGGATGCTCATTGTTTCTGACCCCTTTCCAGTAGACAGAGTTAGGAACTGTATTAAATAACAATTCAAAACCCAACACTACAGGTTTCTTCACTATTCCCATTCCATTCCCTGTTACACAATGAGAACCTTCCTTCTCAAAGAACATATTAGAGACTTAGTTTTTAAAAATAAAAAATTATAAAGAAAAAAAATTTAATGAAAAGATTGTGAATATTAAGAATATTAATATTAGCATTTGATGAACTTTTTATATTAGAAATGCCATAACATTTTTTGCCATAGTTGAAGAAGCAGAGTTAGTCTTACGTATCTTTTATTAATGTGTTCTCCAGATATGTGGAAGGTTCAAAAGCTGTTATTGAGAAAGCAGACAGATCGAAGCTGCAACCTGTAGCTTTAAGCTGCATGCTGAATATTGGTGCTTGTAAACTGAAGATGTCAAATTGGCAGGGAGCAATTGACAGTTGTTTGGAGGTAAGTCTGTTTGCTGTTGAACTTTTTAACGGGGTTGGATTATGATTTATGAACTTGAAGGAAAGCAATTTTATATTCATTAATATAGCATCGCATAGGACCTAATGAGACTCACTAAAACATGTAATTTTATCTGTAAATATTTTGGACCTTCAGTTTTCCTCTTAGTATCTATGAAGATACTTTCCCTTTTTTCCTCAATGCACATGTATCAGCTCGCTCATTCATTTAACATATTGAACACCCATTAATGTGCTGGGCACTGGAAGACAAAACCAATAATGATTAAGAATGTGGGTTGTGGAGTCAGTTAGATATGGTATTTTTATTAGACCACTGTCATTAATTTTGTGATCTTGGGTAAGTTCTTAAATTTAGAGAATCTTAATTTCCTATGTTAAATGGAAATAATACCTGCCTCATGGGATTGTTATAAAGATCATATAACATATGTAAAGCATTTAGCACAATGTTGGGCACATGTTAAGCACCTAACAGAGCCCAGGGATTTTAATGAAAAGACAAAACCATACCCTCAAGGAACTTCCTATTTGGCATTTGGCTCTCTTTTTGGAGACATCCAGGAATACTAACTGTAAAAGCTAGAAAGGTGACAGCATATATTCCTTAAATAGAACGATTATGACACTCCTGTTGTACAGTTGAAATATTTTCCAAACCAAGCCATGTATTTTAGAAAGACCACCTCCAGCAATTTTAATGTATATTGCACATTGGCCTATGCACATAGACTAGTTATGCCTAGAGCAAATAGAAATAAAATGAGACTCTAATTTGGTAGGGTAGGTGGAATAGAGTAAGAACATACTTAGAAGGGAGCATCAACAGAGGAAAAATGTTATCAAAGGGAAAGATTGGTCTTCACCAATCTCCTGGATCTCTTTTTACTTTTGTGAAACAGATAATACACTCTTTCCAGTAAAATTTAAGTATTGACCTTTAAAAGATGTTAAGTAAAAAAATATATTATTTTTGAAAAAAAAATTTTTTTAAAACATTTGTTTCAGAGAGACCTATTAAAAGTTATTCATGCTCCTAAAAAAAACCCCACATGTATACAGGTTGTTATCAAAATGACTTTCTTTGACCAGTTGGGGCCGAATCAGGAAATAGAAACCACACAGTAATTTGAACAAAGTTTAAAAGAAAACATAAGAGGGGATTGGAATAATAAGGGATTGGCTAGTAAAGAGAATTCTAAAGTTATGGGAACAACAGGTATGTATATATATTATATATGTAAAATAGGAGCAACTGTTTCCCTAGTCTGGGATGGAGTCCCCTGGGAAGAGGCACCTCTCTAGACCCCTGGCTAAGATCCAGATCTCACTGGAGAGGGTATAGCTGTAGCTCACTGAGTGGCAGAGTTGGTCACTGGGCACCATACTTGTGGAACTCACTGGAATGCCTGGGAAATTTGCCTGTGGGGAATCAAGCTCTGCAGGAATCTCGTAAGAGGAGCACACTGGAACCTGGAAAATGAGCTTTCTCTTCCGTGTCCATTTAGCTCCCTCTACTGACAAAACTTAACATTGTGCCAGCTGGTAGAGGAGAGATTTATAGGGTCCATCTCCATTATCACAGAGCAGTGAAGGGTTGATTTGAACTGACAGGCAATACATTTAAATCTAGCACATATATTTAATACTTAATATTTATATAAAAATATTAATTTGATGTTTTTTGTAGGCTCTTGAAATAGATCCATCAAATACCAAAGCACTGTACCGTAGAGCTCAAGGATGGCAAGGATTGAAAGAATATGACCAAGCATTGGTAAAACTTTGCTTTAAATTTCAATCTTTAAAAATAGACCACCTTCATAAATCACACACCTAAAATGTCTTAATTTGTTTTTTTTTTTCCCAAATAAAGGCTGATCTTAAGAAAGCTCAGGAGATAGCACCAGAAGACAAAGGTAAGTTGGCAGTTTTTGTAGTGAAAGTTCACCTTGCCCTTTAATAATTTATCCTTATGAAACCTTGTACCCTTTGCCACTTAGATATTTATTTGTTCAACAGATGTTACAGAATGCCTGTCATCGGGTCAGGCACAGATCATACTGCATTGAACAAGTCAGGGTCCCTGCCCTCAGAGCTTCCATGCTAGTCCTGCTCCAGAATACTAGTTTTCACATACCTGAACACTATTTGTTCTCCTGTATCATTTGCGATCCAGTTCCTGTTTAATTCTGGTTGAAAGTGCAGTACTAAAAGACTATTACGGGTGAATTAAATGTTTAGGACCATTCCTTAAGCTGAATGTGGCCATAACACCTAAGTATTCTAGCTAATAGAGTTATGTCTTAAAAAAGCTTTGGGATGCTGTGACATAAATGAACTTGTCTTTCAAATACACCAATTAATAGTGATACTAGATCTAGATATTAAAATATATCTTTGGTTTCTTGAATACTAACGTAAAACAGAGGAGGCAGTTAACTGCCCACTCTAATGGAGAAGGCAAATCTGTACACTCAATTGACAGTCTTCTAAAATTATGCTTCGTGGTTTTTGTATTTGTGTGATTGCTTTCTCAAGTGTAGCTTGTTCTGTTAATAGGGCAAGAAGAGTTTTACAAGGGGGGAGTTAACTCTCATACTAAAACATCAGTTTGTTGGTCAACCTGATTTTTTGGATGTTTGAAAAATAACTCATACTACGTATTTATTTTGCAGCTATCCAGGCAGAACTGCTGAAAGTCAAACAAAAAATAAAGGCGCAGAAAGATAAAGAGAAGGCAGCGTATGCAAAAATGTTCGCCTAATAAGGAATTAATTCAGTTATGCTTAATATTACACATTGATGTATAAAGGCAATAAGAAAACTTAAGGGATGTTGTCTATTAATATGTGATCCCTAATGTTTCTCCTTTGCTGCTTCAGTTTCCCATTGTTTACAGTGTAGGAATACTGATACTGGGTTCACTCTTAATAAAAGTATTACAAAGTATAGTGAAGTTGATTTTTTTTGTGTGGCTATCTGCATTCACAAAGACTAATGACGTTCAACCTATTTTTAAATTAAAGATGTATCTTGTTGAATAAACAGATGAAAGCTTAAGATTGTATATTATTTCCCTCAATTCCTTGATGTAGCTTTCTGTAAACTAGTTGGTTTGTGCTGGTGTTTTATACTTACAGATAATACAGACATATATGTGCAAGGGTCAGTAAACTTACATTCATGGGCCAGACAGTGAGTTTTTAGGACCATTGTAGTCTGTCACAGCTGCTCATTTCTGCAGCTGTAGCCACAGACTATATGTAAACCAATGGCATGGCTGTGTTACAAGCAAACTAAGAAAAGTGGTGGGCAGGATGTCAACCTCTGGTGTAGATAGACATTTATTTTTATACTTGAAGTCTTGAATTTGACAAGTCAAATGTACAATAAAGGCCAATAGTTTATTCTGCTGTTGGTAATGAATTCTTTGAAGAACTGAAGAGGTAGGTAAGTAGACGCTACATCAGTTATAAAGTTTTATTTAGGATAAATATAATTTTTTTGTGGGACAATTTTAGGTATAGTATAAAATTTGTATTTCCCTGATATTTTATGAACATTCTGGTCAATAATACGCTGTAAGATATTTTGACACCTGCTAACTTCTCAACATTTTAAAGTTAGCTTACCATATATTTTAAAGAAAGTCGTTATCAAACTTGCCTGCAAATGAAATCAGTTGCAGTTTACATTCCATTGTAAGCAGGTCCTCCACCACCTTCGGGTACCACCCAGTTAATATTCTGACTTGGATCTTTAATATCACATGTTTTACAATGCACACAGTTCTGAGCATTTATCTGTAACCGATATCCATCACCTTGCTCCAAAGGTACAAATTCATAAACTCCTGTAAGGAGAAATAATATCGTGAAGCACCTAACTTTTTTAATTTCCAAAATTCAAAATTAGAAATTGAAGTCCTGGAAACAGCTACAGAAACCCATAGAGCCTATTACAAAGATCTTGGTTGCTTTTGAGTTTTAATTATATATATATATCATGCTACATGATGCTTCGGCTGAAAAGACAAAACAGATCCAGTCCTAACCCTCAGTTTGTAACCCGGTATGACAGAAATTAAAGTCGAGACAGCCAAGTCCCCGCCCTCAAAGAGATTCTAGTCCCTCTCCACAGTGTCCTAATTTTTACGTATCTGAACACTATTTTACTATATCATTTACTATTTTATAATTCTAGTTGAAAACTCAGCACTAAAAGGTATAGTATTCATGATGAATTTCAAGTCTGGGACCATTTTCTTGAGCTGAACGTAGCTATAGCCTGGTATTTTAGTATCTGTACACATGTGGGTATGAGCAACAGCCATAACTGATTTTTTTAAAAAGTCACATGAACGTGGAAAGAGGTATTCTTTGGTGTTCCATAAGCCTTATCTTGGTCCAAGGGCAGACACAGAAAGGCTTTCGTTGAGACATGTCATCAGAGTTAGGCTTCCCCAAAATTCCCTATTTATTTTTTATTTTTTGACATTGCTAGAGTAAGAACCATAAAATAATGTTTTCTAAAGGAAGCTGGATGTAGCAGTCATTTATAATTTCCAAGCAATGAAAGCATATTTCTTACATGTTTAAAGCAAATACTTGTACTTTAGGAAGGAACAGAAATCAGCACTGACCTGCAGGGCAGAATCGCTGCTCGGGCCCATCATATATTGACAGATTTCTATTTACAGGTACACTGTCATCCTTTAAGGTTAAATGAGCTGGCTGGTCATGTTCATGGTTAGTACCACTCAAAGCCACAGATGACAAAAGGTCAAAACTAATCTGTCCATCAGGTTTTGGATACTCAATAGGTGTGCAATCCTTGGCTGGCTTGAGCTGACTAGAGTCAGAACCTTTAATAAAAGTTTTGAGGACGATTTTAAATAAAAATACAACACTAATTTTAAAGTACTTGAAAAAACATTTTATAAACACTTGAAAATATACCAAAGAAATAAGACTTGACTCATAATAATGATACACTGTTCTCTTAAAGGTACTGAACTTGTTATTAATAAAGCAAATTTCAAACATTAAAATAAAAAAGTTCTCTTTCTCCACTACTTAATGGATCCCATTCATGAATTTCTAAGGATCATAATCACACTTTCAAATACGTTGGAATTACCTTTATGTTTCAGAGTCCATGGCTCCATTCCTCTGAGTATCCAGTAAAAGATTCCAGTGTAAATCATCCCTCCATATAAACCCAGGAATCCATGGCAGGAGGGTCTTATATTTCTAACAGAATATAGCTCTTTCCACACCCATGATTTCTTCAAATTGTCCTCATACTCAGTTACATGGAGTCCTTTTATTAAAGACAATGAAGGTTAAGTGTGAAATTGCCTCAAGGAGGATAAAATACTTTATCAAGGTATTTTGCCATTGAAATATCTGGTGAGTGAAAAAGTAAATTTAAAAAATAGGTGATCATATAAGACCACACAAAGAATGTTTTATGTATAAATGTTGGCATCTTCCAAAAATCACTTTTGATATATTTTGTTAACTGACAGTAAAGCATTTGATTTCTTACACTGGCAGCATGGAAAGTTAAGTTCCAAAATTTAGTAAACCTGAAAAAAAAGCTTAAGATAAAGAATTTGTGCAACCTATAAAACTAAAAAATTTTATAATTGATCAATGAAGCACTTCTGTTATGGCTTAAATTGTGTCCCCTCAAAAAAGATATTTTGAAGTCCAAACCCCCAGTATTTAAGAATAGGTCAAAATAGGGTGGTTGCAGAAATAATAGTTAAGATAAGGTCATATTGGAGTAGAGTGGGCCCTTAATCCAATGACTGGTGTCCTTAAGGCACAAGACAAGCAGAAGACAGGTAAAGATGGAAGCAGAGACGAGTTAATTCTATCACAAACCAAGTGAAGGCCTGGGGTTTTCAGAAGCTGGAGAGAGACAAGACTGGATTCAGTCACAGACTACAGAGGTGGTCCTGCCAACACCTTAATTTCAAACTGCTGGTCTGCAGAACTCAATTTTCTCTTGTTTTAAAGCCTCCCAGTGTGTGATACTGTGTTGTGGCAGCCCTAGGAAACTGTAACAGTACCTGAGACTTGGCATGTGCATTTAATAGTTAATGGGACAAACTGCTTCTTAGAAACTTTTGTGAACTACATAGTGACTATTACTCTTTCCAGGCATTGCTTCCTGTTCTGGCTCCACTGCCCTTTCCTCCAGTCCTCAGTCCCTAATCTATTTTTTGGTGATCTACTTGCTCCAGTACTTTTTTTTTTTTTTTTTTGGTACATGTCCCTAGCAGGAACTGAACCTGGGACTCTCTGGTCTGCAGGCTGACGCTCCAACCGCTGAGCCAAACTGGCCAGCCGCTCCAGTACTTTCTATGTGTGGTACTATGTGTACATGATAAGGTGGTGATAAGGTAGTCCAAAAAGGAAAGATAGTTGGCAAGAAAATTAGAAAAATGTCCCACTACTCAGCCATCACACTCCATCTTCCTGTTTGTGTTCTACCTCATTTCCTTTCTCTGCCACAGCCTAGGCCTCTCTCCCTACAAAGATATTTTAAGGCATAATTGGGTTTTCCATTCAAGAGGCAGGAAGCAAAGAAAAGTTGATAAATTATATAGTGTGTCAAAGGTTGAAAAAAATTAGAGGAAAAAACTGTGTGTGTGTGTGTGTGGTGGGGATGTTGAAAGTGCTCTGTGTGTGTGGCAAATCAATCGGACCCACTGTGAAAGTGGTATTTGAGCAAAGGGGAAGGGAGCAAAGGAGCAAGGGAGCTGGCCATGAGCAAGGACCATGAGAAGGAAGCACGCTTGGCATGTTCCAGTCAGCGAGGAAGCCCGTGTGACTGGGATGAGTTAAAAGGTGAAATCAGAGAGGGGAGGGAGCTTTGGCTTTTACTCTGAGAAAAGTGGAGCATCCTTAGAGGATCTTTTTAGACTAAGGGTTTACTGCGAGGTGCTAGCGGTTCCCCTCCACTGGAGCAGAAAGGTCACATGCCAGTGCTTGCCAAGCCTGCCGAGGAACGGTGCTGCGGATTCTGCAGTTTGCGCAGCTCTCCTGTTTCCAGACAAGACACTTCAGTATTTGTGAGATAGCTTAGTGCGTATAGTACATGTGTGTAGTGTAATGCAGTACTGTCCAACTTGAAATCACTTCTAAGTAGGTGAGATACCACTAGTAGTAGTCTACCTTTGATTGAATAAAACAAAATGTTGCTTTAAAAATCTGGCTTATTACTAGGAGTACATCATGTAGTTTTCTTTGCACTGCATAGATCTTAATGCTTTGTGCAAAGGGACAGATACTATATGTATATATTTTTAATGTCAATTGAAATATACATTAAAAACACCTCAAGATTTTTTTTTTTTTTTTTTTTATCCTCACCCGAGGACATTTTTCCATTTTTTGTACAGATAGAGTGGGAGGGAGAGAAACATCGATGTGAAGGGACACATCAAGTGGCTGCCACCCGCACGACCAACCAGGGCCGGGGACAAACTGCAACCGAAGTACGTGCCCTTAGCGGGAACCGAACCCGGGTCTCTCCGGACCGCAGGCTGACGCTCTAACCGCTGAGCCAAACTGGCCAGGGCAACACCTCAAGATTTTTAATTGTTTTTATTTTCATGTTCCTTCTATATACTGGCTCTTTGTTTAAATAACTTCTTTTTAATGTTTCAGTGAAAAACCTGACAATTTTCTATATTTTAAATAAATAGGAAGTTCTTACCTATCGTCTTTGATTGGAGATTTTCACTAGTTAGTTGATTAAAAATAGATTCTGCTGCCAAAATTCCACTTTTCATTGCTGTGTGGGTGCCTTTGATCTTGGGAACATTCATGAAACCAGGGCTACAACCAATTAGTAAACCACCAGGAAAGGTGAGTTTTGGTATAGACTGAGGAGAGAAACATTTAAAGTGTATTGTTAGCTCAAATTAAACATGCAAAACTGGCCAATCCAAATTATAGCCTCTTAAATAAGTCTTCTAAAGATTCAGGGAAACTTTTTAAAAAAAATACAAGAAAATGAATATACTCAAGGAAAAAAAAATCAGCATGGGCAGTTTTCCCCTCTCCCTTATGAATGAGGATCAGAACTATTACTACTTATTAAGAACGTTTCCTTCTCCCTCCCCATGACTAACCTACATGAGACAGATTTAAGAGTAGAGGGTCAACATATTTCAATAAAATGTTTTTATGTATATTTATCATGTCACAATGAAAAATATTCTCTAAGCCTGAATGACTATTATCTAAATTGTGATCTGCTTTTCCATGCATTCTGGGTAACACATGATACACAAAGGGTAGTATCTTACCTCTATATATGCTTTTTATTTTACTTTCATATCTAGGGATAGAAACTTAGGTTCTAAGTATGGCAGCACTACAATTAGCTACTACCTTAAATAACATTTCAATTAACTTGAGAATAAGTTAAATTTCCTTAATAAATGTTAAGATAGTTGTTTGGGCCTCCATATACATTTCTGTTCAAAAAAATGTAATAAAGGCTGGTGATATATTTGGGTCTATACAGACCCCACAATGTGGCATCTAAATTATAGGTTGTTTGCATGGCAAAATGTACTCTTTAGTTTGAAAAGGAAAGAAAAAAGAGCCAAGGCAGAGTTGTTCATTCCTCCTGCAGTTTTTGTTCTCTAAGGGCTTCCTAAAGTAAGCCATGGTCTTTGTTGAGAAAGTGGTGGGTAGTAACAGTTTGGCTGATGGTGCTGAAAGCGACTAAAGTCGGGATTCATGGGGAAACCACTGCCATCAGCTACAAGAAGACATGGTGAGGAATCTGTGGGGGGAAGCAAAACGGGGCATAACAATGCTTGAAAAAGATCAGGGTCCCTGTCCTTTTACAGTACATGTGGGGATGAATTTTTAACTATGGTTCTCAGGCCAAAGTCAAGATCAGAACCACCTAGATAAAAGAGCATTACATCAGGATCACAGAGGACACAGTATGGGTAAAGGACTTTCCAAGATGCCATTAGTTGAAAACAGAGACAATGGCTAAAAACTTGAATAATGATGATACTTTTCTCAAATAAGGCTGTGGCCTTGCTAACACTAAGTTTGATTTAAGAACCAGATGACAGGATATGGGTGGTTAGTGCAAGTTCTTCCAAACTGGTGCTTAAGTCCTAAGAATAAGATCTTATCGCCCAATGAAAATGTGTGTTTTTAAGTTCTGAAAGGATCCTACCCTGTGTGCGTAGTGTTACTGGCACTGGGCATTTCGTTAAGGAACTAGGGACCCAAGAAGAGTTACACTCAGAAATGTTGTATTCTGGGACATTCATTAAACTAGGGCTACAAATCATTAGAAACCTACCAGGAAAAGGTGAGTTCTGGGTACAGACAGAAGAAAAAAAAAAAAAAGTCATGTAATATCTGTTAGATAAAAATAATAAAACTGAATGTTCCAAATGCTTCCTATAGGTCTTCAAAACTTATTGAAAAAAAGTTTCTGAATCTTTGACAGAACAGAAAATTTAAGTAAAAAGTGTGGGTAGATGTGGTCATCTCTTCTAGCCAATCTAAAAACCATCTGAGATGTTGAAGCATACAAGGCAGATGTTTTAAAATAAGAATCTGTATGTACTATTGAATATACCAAAACCTTTATACTATAAATTAAAAAGAGCAGAGTTAGGCTGATACTAAGTATTATGGATATCATTCAAGAGTTCAATGGGATTGAACATAGTTATGCAATTTAATAAATATTTGTTGCAAACTCCTCTCCCCTCCATTTTCTACTTTTTGTTACTTAAAAAAAAAAAGATACCCAATTTCTAATTTAGTCCTAGATTCCTAAAATACTAGAGACAGAAGGGATTATCTTTATTTTACAGATGACCCTTTAAGGCCCAAGAAGTTAAGTAACTTGCTCCAAATCATTTGGTATGAGTTTTGAAACAGATTTTTTAAAAAGATTATTCTACCTGTCTAATACTATTTCTACAACAGTACTAACGGCTTTTATCATAGTTAGTTATCTAGGTCTTATTTCATTGTTTAATTAGTATATATTTAATACATTAACTGTATTTGATAAGATTTATTTTGAACATATACTAAAATCAGACAAGTAAGGGTAAAAACTTAACAGAGGCCACTGAAAAAACATGGCTGTTACTGAGTAGTTGGAATGATTTAATTACCTTTGCTGAAAATAAAATTTGCCTTTGAATTTCCTGGCAGCTAAAGAATAAAGGGAAATATCTTGGATCACATAGTTTTAACTTTCTGGTTAAAAATAAAGCCTATAAATTTATCTCTAGAAATCAATATATTTTTAAAACTAAATTCATGGTGTCATTTATTTAACTAGTGTGATACAGTCTTATAAACACTAGGTGATTTGCTTAATTACCTAAACTTTTCCCTATGAAATGATTTTATATTCTTTATTTAAATTTGCAACATCATATTTTCTTTTTTTAAAATTTAATTTATTTATTTTTGTTACAGATGTTTCTCCACCCCCCCCCCCACTGATTCCCCCCTCCCCCTCCCTCCCCGCCCTGTCCCCAGCTTTGTTGTCCATGTCCATTGTTCATGCATTCATGCATATAAGTTCTGTGGTTTATCTCTCCCCCACCATCCCCTCTTCTGGGGAATGTCAGTCTGTACCCCACTTCCACAACTCTGGGACTATCCCATTCCTCAGACTGTTATGTTCATTATATTCCACAAATAAGTCAACATCATATTTTCAATGTTGAATTTATAATACATAAATAAGGAATAAAAAAGTTGGGAGAGTTACCTGAAAGCCACCTTCATTGAGAGCTCTGGCTCCATAAGCTATCCTTTTCCCACCTTCCAATGTTGGCTGAATGCTGGGATGGTGTTTCCACCTCTGGAACTCTCTAAATGGACTCAGGTACGGATTTTGATAGTCCAGACCAACCTTAAAATATTTACATTTAAATTTAATGTACTTATGCAGTCACTTATATTTCAAATTATATCAAGCTAAAATGACATGTACATTAAATTTTTTATACTCAAGGTAAGAGAAATATATACAGTAACCTAAATTTAAATAAATACCTAAATAAAATCATTTTGGAAAAGAAAGGGTAAGCAAAAGGATACCTTGTGTTCATAATCAGAAAAAAAACTTAAAAAACTTTGGAACATAGTAATAAATCACTGTGCTCTTTATATCATAGTCCATATTAGAAAAATATTTGTAGGTGTCTCTCACATTGTGTTTCTATAAAAGCTGTAATTATTTATCATTCATTTATCAATACCAACTCTACAAATAAATAAGCTATATGCGGTACTACTGAGGCGAAAATGAAGAAACAGGTTGTAACCACACTTAGAAAAAAAGAGGACAAGAGGTATTAGAAGTTACATTTTAAAGGCATTACCATAGTGCTGAAATTAATAACCATGCCTTTTTTGCTTTGAAAAGATTAAGTCACTAGAATAACTACACAAGGGTGATGTACTGAACACCTGTCTGGGTTTCAAAAACACATAAATTTAATGGTGGTTCTTGTCATTAAACAATAAATCTGCCACCAATTCCAAGGTGCAGAAATTCATACTATTTTTCCGTTTACTGTGATGTTCAAGATGTAATTTACTAAAGGTATGAGTGGTCAAAAAGGGATAAAATGCTCATGTTTTTAAAAGATAGGTTCAAACCCAGAGTTGACTAAATTTTCAGGAACAGCATGGCATAGTGGAAATGGGCTTTGAAGTCAGACAGGTTCAAGTGTGAAACTGCCTGTCATTTAATGGGTGTATTTGGGAAAGTTGTTCAACTTGCTTGGACTTCAGTTTTCCCATCAGTAAATAAGGATATACCTACTTCATAGGATTAAAAAAAATATATATATATATTTTATTGATTTTAGAGAGAGAAAGGGAGAGGGAGAGAGAGAAACACTGATGAGAGAGAACATCGATTGGCTGCCTCGTGCATGCCCCCACTGAGGATCGGGCCCACAATCTGGATTTGTGCCCTGACCAGGAATTGAACTGGCCACCTCCTGATGTGTGGGTCGATGCTAACCACTGACCCACACCAGCTGGGCCCTACTTCATAGGATTTTATGAAACTTTAGCGTTCTCGGTGAAATATCTAGCACATAGTAGCTACTATTACTAAAGCTATGTGTGTTTAAGTAGATAACATCTACAATAATCATAAGCACTTTATATATTGTTTAAATTAGAACATAAGCTTTAAGCAAAAACCATTTTACATTCTCCAGATCCAAAACCTTGTTTTATAACACTGATGAGCCAGTGACTCTTACAGAACTTTCCATAGTGAGCATAGAACTTACCACAAAACCAAGAGCTACCAGGGGTTCCCCTTCATTTAAATGATAGAGGAAAGAGCCTCCATAAGTGTGTCTGTCCAAGGGCCAGCCAACAGTGTGATCTACTCTCCCAGGTTTCCACTTCTTTTCATCAATAATCCATAGCTTAAAAAAAAAAGTCCTAGAGTATTATTTAAAATTTTTATGTCACTACAATGTATAAAACTTGCCAACTTTGTCTTATTTATGAAAATTACAAGTAAAAACTGTAACAAGAGCAACATACAAAAAGTACTTCAAAATAAGTCAAAGAAAATACCAAACTGCAGCATGATGAATCAGAGTAAAGAAAGGGTCAGAAATGTTATGAACATTTTAAGACATTAGTTAGATGTTCAAATCAATAAGACTTTTATATGATTCTCAGAAATATCACAGAAGAGATGAGGGGTAACTTCTGGGGTGTTGGTACTATTCTGTCCTTAAAAAAATATTTTTTTTCTCCCTTTACTGACTTTAGAGAGAGAGGAAGGGAGAGGAAGAGAGATAGAAACATCGATGAGAGAGAACATCGATTGGCTGCCTCCTGCATACCCCTCACTGGGGATTTGGCCCACAACCTGAGCATGTGTCCTGACTGGAAATCAAACTGGCGACCTTTTGGTGCATGGGTCGATGTTCAACCACTGAGCCACACCAACTGGACAGTACTATTCTGTCTTAATCTGGGGGGTGGTTACATGAGTGTGTGAATCTCATAAAAATTAATTGAACTGTCCACTTAAAATCTGGTACTTTACACTGTTATTCTTTAATAAAATATTTTACCCTTTCTTGCACAGTCCCATCCTCAAATGAAGCAAATTATTCATCCTATTTTTAGAATTCTAAGTTTTAAATTTTAAACAGTTTCTATCTGAGATATTGTCTAAAATTCAAGTAATATTATGTGCAATCTGGCAAAAACAGTTAAGCCCTTAGTCACAATATAATGAATCTAGTTTTACACAGAATTTAAACCTTTCTGAACTTTACCCTTAAAATAAATGTAAACAAAAGGATGTAATGAAATGTTTACATTCTAATATGCCTAAAGTTTGAAAGAATAGTCTAGCATTTGGATAAACTGAGAACACATACAACACTTAATCTAACTAAATTTTAGGTTTTGTGTTAATATACCATGACTGAGTGTATGCTTCATAAACTAAATTATCTTCACATTACAATGGTGAATAAACAATTCTTGTAGGATGTGGTCATCTTACAACTAGCACATGAATAACAGGTCCAATACTATTATGGGAGATGGCATTAGAATGAAAAAAAAAATTAATGTTACAAATATCTTCAAATTCAAGACATCTTTTTTAAAAAAAATCCTCACCCAAGAATACTTTGTTCCATTTTTATCTTCAGGTAGAGTGGGAGGGAGGGAGAGAGAGAAACACTGACATGAGAGAGACACATCAACTGGCTGCGTCCCGCACGACCCCGACCAGGGCCGCAGACCAAACCTCAAATGAGGTATGTGCCCTTGACCAGAATTGAACTTGCGACTCTTTGGTCCACAGGCCAATGCACTACTGCTAAGCCAAACTGGCCAGGGCAAATTCAAGACATCTTTCAGCAATATTTGATAAACCAATTATACCATGTAGATACAATTTAGATAATAATAAATTTTGATTAGTAATATTTTCTAGCCCTTTGAAAAATATATTTTGTCATATTTCGTCAATAAAAAACATAACTGTAAAATTAAATCAACATTAAAATTACATTATGACACAAATGAATTTAAAGCTTCGTCTTTCAACATAAAAAATACAAAAACAAACCAGGATACCTCCTTCAGTCCAATTCCATAGGTTTGGGGTTCACAATTGGCCCTCAAATCAAACTTCTTATATAGTTGCTTGGCTAGATGTCCGTGGCAACCCTCTGCAAAAATTGTAACTTTGGCATGTAGTTCTAGTCCTCTCTCAAATGTTGTCTAAAAAATAAAAACATGTTAAATTGCAACATTTGGCGATTTTAAAAATATTCACATTCTGGTCAGTTTTGAATTGAAATATGATTCAGCTATAGAAGAGAAAGTGTAAATATCTTAGAAATAAAACTAAGTAGTTATAAGTGGAATCTAATTTAAATTTAATAATATATCTTGTGTCTTTGTTATACTTTTGTTTTACTTCAAAAGTACTTGATTGAACAGTGAAGTATGTAAGATTTAAAACAGCAAATAAAGCATGCTTATGCCAAACAAGTTTTCTACAAATAATTATAAAGTGAAAAAGAAAAGGCCATTTCCCCACTGTTCCTGACTTTACAGTCCCATCATTTGAAGCAAAAAACAATAATAGCTTTCTTGTGAAATTCTCATGCCAGAACATTTCCATGAATAAAAAACAAGGGCCTATTTCTATCCTAACACAAATAGGATCATACTAAACATATTCTTCAGCTACTTGCATTTTTCACTTTAATTTTACTTGTTCTCTATTGCTGAATATATATTGTAAAACTGAAAATTTTTTTCCAAGGAGAAAAAAAGGCTACAATTAAAGTCTTATTTCTCTTTTGCTCTCTACAATTTGTACTTATGTCTAGCATATGGTAGGTACTCAATATTAAGTTACTGAAAAAGAAGTAGAGAATCAGGAAAGTCTCATGAAATATATCTTTCCTGATATTTCTCTACTCATATATTTGCATTCACACAAAAAACTTGTTTACACTTACAAACTGTTTTATAACTGTTTTCATATTATATCATAAAGTGATTTGCCTAAGGCAATGCATACTAAATAAAGCATTTATTTTTAATGCTTCAATAGATTCCCTTAACTTTTCAACCAATTCTCAATAGTTGGACATGTAGGTTGTTCCAGCATTTCACTATTACAAGCACTGCTCAGATGGATATCCTTGCTTAATATTTTCAGTCTAAATGGTGAGAATTATTTCATTATTAATTTAGTATCTTTGGTTATTAGAGTTTGTGTATCTTTCATATGTTTATTGGTAACTTCTTTTTCTTGTACAGTGCTTATTCCTGTGATATATATATATATATGTGTGTGTGTGTATATATATATATATATATATATGCATGTTGCATACGCACATACATCCTATAAGTACTCAGCCTCTTTTACTTTTTGTCTCCTTCCTCCCATTACACCTCACTCATCCATAAACCACATTAACAACCTAGGACGTTTTACCCAAATAAATACACACATACGCATATGGAGATACATATACACTTAAACTTTTTTTTAAAAATATTTTTTCTGCATTTGTCTATGCTTTTATATCTTTATAAATATAATATGTAAAATAGATATTTTTTTTACAAACACAAAGCACAGAACACAAAAATATATATTTGAACAAATATGAAAACACAAAAACTGGAGTATCAGAATGACAGAATTTGTGTGCTTCCATTTTATTGAAATAGTAAACATAAACATTAAAATTAAAATTTATAATTATCACAGTATAAAAAGAATAACCATAACAAAAAAAGACTAGCCCCGGTCAGGTGCTCAGTTGGTTGGAGTGTCATCTTGTATACCAAAAAGGTTTTGGGTGTAATCCCCAGTTGGGGCACATATAGAAGGTAACTGATCAATGTTTCTCTCTCTCCCTTCCTCTCTCTCTAAAATCAATAAACATATCCTCAGGTGAGGATATAAAAAAAAAGAATAAATGTAAGAAAAATAATATATATATTTTTTTATCATAATGAGAAGCAGTTATGAGATAATAGTTTGTTTGCAAACCTGGCTATGCACCAGAATCCCTGGGGACTTGTTAAAAAAACAGCTTTCTGGGCCCTAACTATGGGACATGCTGAGTCTCTAGATCTCCTTTGATACTGATTTAGCCAGTCAAACCACTAGAAGAAGCCTGTGAGCTTTGTTACGTGCTGTCTAAACAAAAAATAGTGAGCAGCAGAAAGATCTGTTATAGGAAACTCTACAATAGATTCCCAATTCCATTCAAGAATGGCAGAGAGAAGGATCAATTATGAGTTAAAAAATATTAACTGAAGACCTAACATTGCCTGTGACCATGCTAGGTATTGGAGTAACCCTCCATGATCTCTGCCATCATTGAGCTTATAAACTAGTTGAGAAATTAAGACACTTAACAAGTAAACATGGATAAATTAATTTATTGAAATGTTAATTTACATTTTGTAGTTATTATACGAAAGCAAGATGTATTTTCCTTGTCCTTTCCAAGGAATTTATATTATAGAGTGTGAGACCCATGTCCTAAGAGTTTTTGTTTTGCAAATTAAAAAATACAAGTTGGGAAAACCTGAAAACCATCTAAGCTAATATTTGAATGAGAGGAAGACCATCAGTTTTATAACTACCAAAAGATATTAAAATCAAGCCAAAGACTATTAGACAGCAATGCAAATGAGTCTTGTCTATAGAAATGAAAATTGTACAAGTGGCTATGCAGTTGATTGATAACTTACGTACGTGTATGTTTTTTTAATGCTCTTTGACTTGGTTATAATAATATCTTATTGATTCCATAATTAATTAATGAGTGAAAAAAATTCTATGTCACATTTGTTTTATATTTGTATGAGTCATGTTTTAATCTTTTAAACATGTTATACCTACTTGCCTAAATGATGTTTAGTTCAAAGATGCTTCTATACTTTTTTAATGAGAAAATTCCAAATAATTACTTTTTTAAAACACTTATCTTTACTGTTGAAAGTATTACAGATGTGCCCCCCCCTTTCCCCCACTGACCCCTCCTCCCCACTCTCACCCCCCTTCTGCCTTCCCCACACTACTGTGTCCATTGGTTATACATATATGTATATAAATCCTTTGGTTTAGTTATTCCCACCCTCCCCCTTTCCCTTTGAGGTTCATCAGTCTAACAACCAATCGGTACTTCACAATCCTTTCACCTTTTTTGCCCATCCCCCCAACTCCTCTCCACTCTGGCAACCAACAGAAAGTTCTCTGTATCTAGGAGTCTGCTTCTGTTCTACTTGTTCATTTTGTTTGTAGATTCAGTTGTTAATAGATATGTATTTATTGCCATTTTATTGTTCATATATTTTTTTTATCCTCACCTGAGGACATTTTTCCATTTTTTTGTTCAGATAGAGTAGGAGGGGGAGAGAGAGAGAGAGAGAGAAACATCGATGTGAAAGGGACACATCGAGTGGCTGCCACCTGCACAACCCAACCAAGGCCGGGGACAAACTACAACAGAGGTACGTGCCCTTAGCGGGAACCAAACCCAGGTCTCTCTGGACCTGCAGGTCAACGCTCTAACCACTGAGCCAAACCGGCCAGGGCGTTATTGTTTATATTTTTCATCTTCTTCTTCTTCAAGAAGATCCTTCAGCCCTGGCTGGTTTTGCTCAGTGGTTAGAGCGTCGGTCCGAGGACCAAAGTGTCTCGGGTACAATTCCAGTCAAGGGCACCCATGTACCTCAGTTGCGGTTTGGTCCCCGGCACTGGTTGGGGTCATGTGGGAGGCAACCAGTCAATGTGTCTCTCTCACATCGATGTTTCTCTCTCTCTTCCCCTCCCTCTATCTGAAGATAAATGGGAAAAAAAAAATATCCTTGGATGAGGATTAAAAAGAAAAGAAAACCCTTCAACATTTCATATAATACTGGTTTGGTGGTGGTGAATTCCTTTAGCTTTTTCTTGTCTGAGAAACTCTTTATATGTCCATCAATTCTAAATGATAGCTATTATAAGAAATAATAACTGTGCAGGATAAAGTAATCTTGGTTGTAAGTTTCTTTTGAGAAATCAGCTGACAGTCTTATGGAAACTCCCTTGTCAGTAACTAACTGCTTTTTTTTTTTTTTAAATTCCTCACCCGAAGATACTTTTTCTATTTTTCATCAGATAGAGTGGGGGGAAGGGAGAGAGAGACAGAGAGAAACATCAATGTAGTACAGCCACATCTACTGGTTGCCTTCTGTACAACCCAACCAGGGCTGGGGATGAACCCCAACCAAGGTGTAACTAACTGCTTTTTTCTTGCCGCTTTTAAGATTCTTTGTCTTGAACCTTCTGCATTTTGATAATGATGTGTCTTGGGGTAGGCCTCTTTGGGTTCATCTTGTTTGGGACTCTCTGTGCTTCCTGGACTTGTATGCCTGTTTCCTTCACCAAGTTAGGGAAGTTTTCTGTCATTACTGTTTCAAACAAGTTTTCCATTTCTTGCCCTCTCTCCTCTCCTTCTGGCACCCCCATGATGTGAATGTTGGTATACTTGAAGTTGTCCCAGAGGCTTCTTACACTATCCTCATTTTTTTGGATTCTTTTTTCTTTTTGCTGTTCTGATTGGGTGTTTTTTGCTTCCTTATATTCCAAATCAATGGTTTGCTTCTTAGCTTTTCCTACTGTACTATTGATTCCCTGTAAATTATTCTGTATTTCAGTTAGTGCATCCTTCATTTCTGACTGGTCCTTTTTATGCTCTTGAGGTCCTCACTAAGTTCCTTGAGCATCCTTATAACCAGTGTTTGAAACTCTGCATCTGTTAGATTAATTATCTCCATTTCATTTAGTTCTTTTCCTGGAGTTTTGTTTTGCTCTTTCATTTGGGACACGTTTTTTTTTGTCTCCTCATTTTGGCTGCCTCCTTGTTTCTATATATTAGGTAGAGTTGCTATGTCTCCTAGGCTTCGTAGGGTGGCCTACTGTAGTAGGTGTCCTGTAGGGTTCAGTGGCACAGCCTCCCTGATCACCCCAGCTGGGCCCTCAAGCTATACCCCTTGTGTGGATTGTAAACCCTTCTGTTGTAATTGAATCTTAATTTCTGTTGGCATATAAATGGGAGGGTTTTACTCAGGCTGATCAGCTGCAAGGATTGGCTTACCCACTGACTACTGACCTCTGACTACCTTGGAGGATCAGCTGTGCAGGGGCCCACCACACAGAGCAAGACTTACTCTAGCAGTCCACTCATTAAGTGTGTCACTTGTGAAGGTGGTTGGGTGGTGGTGCTTCATCGTGAGGTCTGAGGCTGTCCACTGGGTGTGCTGGCTCTGGGGCAAGGTCAGCCACTGCCTGTGTTCTACCCAGGGCCACCAGGCATAACCTAAAAAGTGATCTGCAGATGGCTGCTTCTTGTGCTAGCCTTGGAGGTGCCCAGGCAAAGTCAAGTTGTGAACCAAGGCTGGCTGCTTCTGGTGCCAGGCCTAGGGCCACTTAGTGAGAAGTATGGGACTCGCTAAGGCCAGATGCTGCTTGTTTGAGAGAATTTAGGAAAACCTGAAGCGGGAGCCAAGACAGGCCAATCCTATGGTAAAGCCTTTGTTAACAGCTTGGGTGGGCCTGAAAGTTGGGTGGGGCAGGGCCTCAGGGAATCACCAGGAAGGGGCAAACAGTATGAGCCAGGTTGCTGGAGTCCCAGATATGGCGCCCATCAGCCGGCCCTGTGTGGAAGGGCTCACCAAAGGAACTATGGCCTCTACCAGCATGTCTGTCTGGGAGAAAGCTGCCTCTCCAGGTTTTACCCTGATGCCAAACAACTCAGTTCTTCTCCATATGTCTCTAGTGTCTTTCAAGCTTCCTGACCAATGCTGGAGCCTGGAGGGAGTGAGTCCGAGTAAATCTGTGTGCAGGCCCTTTAAGAGGAACTGCCTGGGACTCCAGAAGCCTCAGCCTCCCTTAGCCTCAGTTCCCTCTGTTTTTTTGTTTTTTTTTTTATCCTCACCTGAGGACATTTTTCCATTCTTTTTTTGTTCAGGTAGAGTGGGAGGAGGAGAGAGGAACAGAGAGAGAGAGAGAAACATCGATGTGAAAGGAACACATCGAGTGGCTGCCACCCGCACAACCGACCAGGGCCGGGGACAAACTGCAACCGAGGTACGTGCCCTTAGCGGGAACCGAACCCGGGTCTCTCAGGACCGCAGGCCGACACTCTAACCGCTGAACCAAACCGGCCAGGGCACTTCCCTCTGGTTTTTACAGCCAGAATTAACGGGGACTTCTCTTCTTAGCACTGAAACCCTAAGCTGGGGGGCCTGATGTGGGACTGGAACCCTTTGCTCCTTCGGGAGCACCTAATTTTTTATCTGCTACACATGGTTGTGGGACTAGCCATTCCTTGTCTCCACCCCTTGTACTATTCTCATTGTGGCTTCTTTAATTTCATAGTGGTAAGACTTCCATTCATCTTGATTTCAGGTGGATCTGAATGATGGTTGTTCTGTACTTTAGTTGTAATTTTGATGTCAAATTAATAAGTATATTCTACCATACACTTACTGTGCATTTTGTAGCAAGACTAAAGTAGTAGATTTAAATCGACTCTTTTTTTATTTGTCAGTTTGCTAAGCACATAATTATTAAAATGTTTACCTTTGGTGCACCATCCTTTTGTATGCCTACATCATTAGTGGCAATTCCTTTTATACTACCATCTTCATGAAAAAGGACCTAAAATGAAAACATACTTCATTATCACCTTAGGATTCATAATGACCTTGAAAAGAAACAACAAACAGTCTTGGGTATTTTTAGAAAGTGAACATGTTCTCTATATTATAGAAATGCAGGCTTTAAAATGTTCACGCAAAAAGAAACATGTTTCTTCTCAGAAATACATGCCTTTTAGAGTGTAAAAGAACACAGCTCAGACAGTTGGGAATGAAAGTAATGCCACCATCTTGATTAGGAGGAAAATGAGGAAGCTACTAGATAGGTCACTAAGACAGCAAGCAGTAAGATGAATAGCCAAAAGCTATTTGAAGAGTTCAGATATCAAAACCATGTACAGAATCCGAAATCAAGGCCTATAACAAATGAAGACCATCAGCATGGATAGAAAGAGAGTAATGTCAGGAAAGCCTCTGTCCCAAAGACACTAACACTCCCTCCCCCACAACAAAAGAACCCTTAAACAAAGAAAATGTAACAGGAAAACAAAACAGAGGTTGACAACAGCCCAAAGCTGATTAAAGTTATTTCTGGAGCAAGAACAATGGGGAAAAACTGGTCAAAAGTATACTTCTCAGGATGAGAAACAGGTTACTCTGTTTCTGTTTCCTTCCTCTCTGGGGGAAAATGCTCTTTGGCTAGGAAAATACAAAATGTGCACTAGAATCACACAATGGGAAGAACAGGAATGGAAAAGTAAAACAAGAATTGGCAGTAATGGATGTGGAAAAAAAGGATATATATATTTTGATACCTTGAAAAAGAGTTAACAGTAGAATGTAGATATAAATTGACATCATTATTGATAATGGTCTTTAAGGAAGTGAGGAAACGAGGAGGTACTAGAGTCTGTAAGAAGTATGTGTGTACTCAAAAAGTGAAAATCATGGATTCTACAAACTACTTCTTTGTAATTTTGACACTGATCCCAAAAATATTTTAACCAGGAGAACCGTGAAGGTCCAACCTTGGGCCCAAATCACCAAATGCAAATGTATGAGCTAGAAAAACAAATTAGTAGCAGCAAGTATAATAATACAGGGACCCAAGAGTTTTTATTTGACTTACATACTGTAAGGGTAAAAACAAATACAAAATTACTTTGAATTTTCCCTGGCCCCAAAACTCCCCTTCCCATCAAGATTTTTTCAGCTAATCCTTTAGAAAACTTAACTGTAAACTTATTTTCTGAGATATATGTGAATCTTTTTAAAAGCTAAATAAGAACCTGCCAGATATGCATCTCAGAAATGTGTTTCTTGGGGACCTGGGAGACATTTGAAATGTGAACACGAAAGAGGATGGTGTTCTGTCTTCCTGTCTCGGTGGGAGCCTGGGATAGGTGCGTAGCTACAAGTTGTAACTTTCTGCTTATCACAAGAAGTTTATTTTTCCTTTGGATACAGACAACATGTTTGTAATGGGTTGGATTTGCCTGGGTATATAAAAAAGGACGAGATTTTGTATGTCTTGGCGATCTCCCTGGAAGGCTCCCAGTGACAAGCACTGCAGTCTTGGTTTAATGCTCATTCAATAATAAAACTTTTTATTCTTTTGGTGGTTTGTAGAGGTGATTTTTCTGAGTTGGCAGGATATTTTATTTTAAATTTCCCCAATAATGCTTAGTGAATATCAACAGTATTGCCAAAAGAATTAGAGTGAAGAACATTTTCTAGAACGAAGAAGGCAATAGCTCTACTCTACACTAGGCTTGAAGTAGTGTATTTATTCTGGGTGCAACCTTACAAGGGTTAAAAGAGAAAGGTATTCAGAGAACAGCAAGGAGAATACTGAAGGAACTCAAAGTATGTAGCACGATGACTAAAAGAACTGAGAATTTTTAACCTGGGAAAGAAAAAAACACAAGAGTAAAGGTAAGGAAGAAGAGAGAGCAGGGTATAATTATAAATTAAAGGTTTCTTTCCAGTTGGAAGAGGGCAGAGATTTGTTCTATATAAATAAATATATAAATAAATATATAAAATATATATTTACTTATAAATTATTAATTATATTATAAATATATTAAATAAATTTCTATCCAATATAAGGAAGAGAGCATTACCAACAATCCATTACCAAATGAAAAGAGATCTTTTCATTCCTAATGTGGTTCAGTCATAAGTTGGACCACCACCTGATCTGGATAAAATATAAAGAATTCAAGTAGTCTTTGGATTAGATTTTTCTAAGATTCCTTCTAATCATGCAACAATAAAATCCTATGACTCTTCTAAAATATTTCTTTACCTCTGTACCAGTGTTGGTTTATATTTTTAAAAAAATTACTTTCTATAATTATTAAAAACAAAATAAAACTATACAAACCTCAGCAGCAGCATAACCAGGGTATACTTCAACACCAAGGGTTTCTGCTTGCTCTCCCATCCAGCTTACTAAATGTCCCAAGCGTACAATGTAATTGCCATGATTATTCATTGGAAGACCTACAAATAAATGCTTAATTTATAAATCTGACTTTTTATTGATAAGACATCTCAAAAACAAATACTTAACTTAAAAATTCTAATCAACGTATAATTTCTGCATAAATATACACATTATCTTATGGTCACAATTTCAATTTATTTTCTATAATTTTGGTCTAGAGTTCTAATTATTAAATTTAAAACATTACAGCATTAAATTAAAAATTCCTAGTTGGCTTAAAATCTAAATTTTTCTAGACTGGAAGACAAAAGAACTGGGTTCCAGTCCTGCTTTCCCATAAGCTAGCTATATAACTCTGGGTAAGGACTCAGCTTCCTCATCTGTAAAACGATAGAATTTTACCAGATGAATGTAGTTCCTTCCAACTGTGGAGTGTTATGATTCTATGAGTATTTATCATATCTTACCTGGAAGAATTGGCACAGGAATTCTGTATTTCTCTGTTAAAATTCCAAACCTGTCTTCTGTTACAGGAGTGTTAAGTGGGGCCTAAAAACACAATATGGAAAGAAAAGGAAGCTTTTAGTCACATTTGTACAGGTAACAACAACAAAAAAAAAACTACATAAAAATGTAAAGGGAACTACCCTCCTCAATTTTCTTTCATCATTTTCTTTAGAAAACTTGGACTGTAAATCCTTTTTTTGTCTCTTTGACATGTATGAAAATCTTTTTAAAACTTAAATAAACCAGCTTTGCATCCCAGGAATGTCTTTCTTGGGGACCTTGTAGATGTCTTTGAAATGTGAACATCAAGGAGGATGGCTTCCTGTCTCCCTGTCTACGGGAGTTTAGCCTACGAGCTTCCTGTTTGATGAAAACATAAGACAAGTTTAATTTTTCCTTTGGATAAAGATAGTTAACATGTATGTAATGGATTGTTTCTGCCTAAGTTATACAGGGCTTTGATGTGAAAAACTTTTTCTGTCTATTAGAATTGTTATCATGTTAATAATCATTCAAGGCTATTTTTAAAAATACAATATTGAAAAGAGAAAGTTAATTAGGCATAATTAAAGTATTTATACTTTAAAGGAGTTTGATATTTTAGAAAGAACAGCAGAGATTAGATTTTTGGAATTTAATTTACTCCACACAGAAAGACTACAGAAATACTTATATGTTTTAACTTTACAAAGTATATTCACAGATACTAAATACTCTAACCTTAAAGGAAGGGTAGATATAATATGATCCATCTTACATAAGAAAAAACTGAAATATATAGAGCGTAAAATTTTGACAAGGTCGTACACTTATGAGAGCAGTAAAACCAGCACTTGGTTCTCTGTGTATCATGCCAGCGCCTTTTCTGCTTAGGTGTGGGTGACCATGATTCACTACTTTGGAAAATTAGATTAGATTAGATTATCCTCTTTGGCTTTAGATATTGCAATGTCCTAGGAAATTTAGATAACACTTTATTTATTTTTATTATTATTATTGTTATTTTTAATCCTCACCCAGGGATATTTTTCCATTGATTTTCTAGATGGAGTGGAAAGGAGGGAGGGAGGGGAGAGAGAAACATCTTTGTGAGGAAGACACATTGACTGGCTGCCTCCCGCAAGACCTCGACTGGGGCCAAGGTTCAAACCTGCAACCCAGGTATGTGCCCTTGACCAGGAATCGAACCCGTGACCCTTTGGTCAGCAGGCCGACACTCTAACTGCTGAGCCAAGCCAGCCGGGGAAAGATAACACTTTATTAAAAACAATGATATAGCCCTGGCCAGTTTGGCTCAGCGGTTAGAGCGTCGACCTGCGGTCTGGAGAGACCAGGGTTCGGTTCCCGCTAAGGGCACGTACCTCGGTTGCAGTTTGTCCCCAGCCCTGGTCGGTTGTGTGGGTGGCAGCCACTCGATGTGTCCCTTCACGTCGATGTTTCTCTCTTTCTCTCTCTGTTCCTCTCTCCCCCCACCATTCTACCTGAACAACAAGATGGAAGAGTGTCCTCGGGTGAGGAAAAAAAAAACCCCACAAAAAAAACAATGATATAAACACCTATGGAGAAAGTTAAGAAATACCCTCAAAATCAAAGTGCTGTATTTTATTTGGTACAAATATTCAAAGATCTTCTCAAGATAATGCCTTCTCATAAATCCAGCATAATAATACAACATGTAGAAGACATTATATAAAAATGAGTTAATATTTTACAATTATAACTATATTTGATATGATTTAAACTATTTTTGTCTTTTTTATTTTGTTTTAGTCCTCACCCAAGGATATTGTTCCATTTATCTTCAGATAGAGTGGGAGGGAGGGAGAGAGAGAGGGAGAGAGAGGGAGAGAGAGAGAGAGAAAGATTTATGTGAGAGAGACACATTGATTGGTTGCCCCCCTCAATCCTGGAGGGCCAGGGACAAACCGCAACCGAGGTACGTGCCCTTGGCTGGAATTGAACCCTCGACTCTTTGGTCCAAGGTCCGACGCTCTAATAGCTGAGCCGAACTGGCCAGGGCTATTTTTGTCCTTTTAAATAAAAAAGTCAATAATTATCCTTTAAAAGATAAAATTACATGAAAAGGGTTTCCCATATTCCAATAATTTGGAAATAGAGATACAACGATTAGACGTTTCATAAGAAGCAATTTTCCATACTCCCTTCTCCTTCCAGTCTGGGAACAGTTCTTCAAAAGCCCGTGGATCAAGGCAAGCCCCTGAAAGAGTATGAGCTCCTATTTGAGCAGCTTTCTCCACAAGACACACACGGATATCCTTTTCATGTTTAGCAGCCAACTGCTTTAGCCGAATAGCGGCAGAGAGCCCTGCAGGGCCGGCACCAACTATTACTACATCTGCTTCTTCTGCAAACCTCTCCATATTCACTCCTAGGAGGAAAACAAGTTTTAAAAATATATAAAAGTCTGGGATGAATATGACCTGATAAAATCACATACCGGCTTAAAAATACCCACTATACTCTAGAACATTATTATTTATAGAAACTGCTCCTCTGCTTTGTATGAGAATTATACTAAGTATATTATTGTATTAATTAGATGGTCCCTTACTTCTGTTCCAGTGCATGTTTTATTTTAGTTTCCATAAACCAACTTTGGCTTTGAGATTATTACAAATTTAGCAAATATTTGTTTTTCTGCATATTAATACATATTTTATCAATCTATGTAATATGAGATGATTTTCCACTACAATGAAAAATATTTCCCTCTACAAAAATGATACAAAATATCTATAAGTTTCAACAATTTCACACAAATTATCACTTACCTTCCCATCGTTTGTCCTTATCCCGGGGATAAATAGTATAGTGGGTAGTAATTCGAGGTACAACGGAAGTTGAAGCCCATCTTGTAGCACACAGAGGTAGATAATTTTTCTTAAGTTTTAAGGCATGAAAGCACTGATATGCTGCACAAAAATCATTAACATCATTATTATTTTTTCAATTAGTTTTCCTCAGAAGTAGACTGAAAAAATATTTTTAAAAAAATCTAGGATTGGTGATCAGAGCTGGTTTCTAATGAGTTTTCTATCAATTAGACCTAAGACCTTAAACAATCATTTGATTTGTTTCCTCATCCAAAAAAGTAAAGGGTCAAAGATGATCTGTAAGGTACCTTCATGACCTAAAATTGCATGATTACACATGATACCTTATATTTAGAAACTTGTTTATATTCTGACCCCATCAAAACAGAAAACATTCAGTGAATAGTCAGATCTATGCTGTAGAGTTGTTGGTTGAGACATAACCTGAAATAGACTGTACTCTCTCCTACATGAGCAACTCAGTTAGCTTTTTCTCATAAAGCAATGTTTTCAAAGTATAATATTTTCAAAGTATCTAATAGATGAATATATTCAATTTAACTCATGTTTAACCTATAAATAGGATGATCACAGAATTTATAATCCAAACAAGATCTTTTGAGGGTAATAAGGGCAGTATTGATGATTATATTGAAACAATATGGGCAAACACGGGTTTTATAATCAGCTTCTTTTTAAATTAGGTTGACTCTTGTATATAGCAATATTTTCTAAGAGCCTAAAAAAATGTATTTATAATCTGAGTCAACAAACAGAATTTTATGGAAACAAACAGAAGTGTAAAAAGATTTATCTTTTATTTAAGAAAGTTCATTAAACCTCTGTTGTCCTTAAACCTTCAACTCTGTCTCCTTCCTCCCTTAACTGGAGGAGATAACCTCGAAAATCAAACCTCAGAAAGACAGAAGCAATTAGATAGGAACTTTCTCAATCCCTTGGCAACAACCTCTAACGTAATTTGTATTTGTGTGCATCCTTTGCTCATTCTCTCAGCTTATTCACAATACATGTCTTTTCTCTTCACTTAGATTAATCCTTCCACCTGGATGAGGAAGCTAATCCCTCCCATCTTCCTAGGGACATTCCTCCATCTGATAGCCTTTCCTCCTTCATAGCTCCAATTTCTGACTCCCTTCTGTGGTATTCTCTTTGATAAATCCTTCCCATCACACACACACACACACACACAAAATTCCTCCTTTGGGACTAACCCTGACAAATAAAAACTTCTATTTGGAGCTATTATAATTAAAAGTTGGTTATGGGAGAAGGAATAGAATAATCAAAGGAACAGAACAAAGAATTCAGAAACCGACAGTAACATAAGGATTCAGTATATGATAACAATGCCATTTCAAATCAGGGAGAAGAGATGGTTACTCATTAAATGGTGCAGACAAAGGTAGAACGTCATTTCGAAAATAGCATTTCTCTCCTCCTTATATTAAAATGAATTCCACTTGGTCAATGATTTTAACAGAAAAAGTTCAAGTATAAAAGATAATGGCAATATATCCACAAATTATGTGATTTCTCCTGCTTCTGAGTGTGGGCTAGACTTGGTGACTCACTTATGGAAACAATATTAACTTTACAGTGGAGAAATATGGCAGACACTTTAAACAAGTGATCAAGTTGAACACTACCAGCAGTAAGACATACTTGTGTCACATACTCCTGATATGATGAGAAGGGCTCTTCATCTGTATGGTATGCTTCCACCAAATCTATAACCTTAGTCTAATCACAAGAAATCATCAAACTCAGATTGAGGAACATTCCACAAAATGTCTGGCTAGTCTATACTGAAAGTGTCAAGGTCATGAGAAATAAGAAAAGACAAACTGTCACACTGAAGTAGACTAAGCAGATATGACAACTAAAAGCAACTGTGGTGCCCTGGATTAGATCCTGGAACAGAAAAGGGAAATCTAAATGAAGTCTGTAGTTTAGTTAACCGTATTGTATCAATGTTAATTTCTTAGTTTTGATAATTATACTATAGTTATGTAACAAATTAATCTGGGCAAAGGGTATATGGGAACTTGGGAACTCTGCTTTAAAAAAAAAAATCCCCACCTGGGGCTACTTTTCCATTTATCTTCAGATAGAGTGAGAGAGAGGGAGGGAGAAAAAATGGGGAGGGGGAGAGGAACATCAATGTGAGAGAGACACATCAATTGGTTGCCTCCGGCACGAACAACCCAGATCAGGGCCAGGATGGAACCGCACTGAGGTACATGCCCTTGACGGAATCGAACCTGCAACTCTTTGGTCCATGGACTGACACTCTAACTGCTGAGCCAAACCGGCCAGGGCAAGGAACTCTGCTTTTTAACTCTTCTGTAAATCTAAATTATTTCAAAATTAAAAAATTAAGATTATGATGATACAAAGGTAACACAAAAAGGATCAAAGACCTAAATATAAGAGCTAAAACTATAAAAATTAAAAAAAATACACACACACGGGTGTAAACTTTTGTGACCTTGGAACAATGGTTTCTTAGCAATGATACCAAAAGCAGAATCAACCAAAGAGAAAATAGATAAACTGTACTTCATCAAAATTAAAACCTTTTATGCTTTAAAGGATACTATAAAGAAAGTAAAAAAAATAATCCATGAAATGGGAGAAAATATTTGCAAATCATACATCTGATAAGGGACTTGTATCTAGCATATATAAAGAACTCATTTCTAATAATAATAATAATAAAAACTCAATTAAAACCAGACAAAGAATCTAAATAGATATTTCCCTAAAGGAGATATAAAAAATGGCCAATAAGCAGATGAAAAGATACTCCACATCACTAACCATCAGGGAAATACAAATAAAAATCATAATAAATTACCACTTTATATACACTAGGATGGCTATAATCAAAGGCAAATAACAACAATTGATAACAAGCATGTGGAGATATTAGAACACTCATATACTGCTAGTAGGAATGTTAAATGGTACAGTCACTTTGGGAAAAAAATTTGGCTGTTCCTCAAAATGTTAAATATAGAGTTTCCATGTGACTCACGCCTAACTATATACGTGAGATAAATAAAAACATATGTCTACATAAAAACTGTATATAGATGTTCATGGTTACATTATTCATAACAGCCAAAAAATGAAAACAACTCAAATGTTCATTAGTGAATTGGTAAATAAAAAGTGATAATATCCACACAATGGAATATCATTCAGCAATGAAAATAAGTTTAGTGATATATGCTACAACATGGATGAATCTTGAAAACATTATGCTAAATGAAAGAAGCCAGCAACAAAAAACCTACAGATTATGAGTCCATGTACATGAAATATCCAGAATAGACTAATTTATAAAGACAGAAAGTAGATTAGTTGTTGTTGGTGCTGGAGGGGTTGGGGAGTGATTGCTAATGGGTTTCTATTTGGGGTGATGAAAATGTTCTAAAACAGACTTGTCGTAGTGGTTGCACAACTCTGCAAATATACTAAAATCCTTTGACTTGTACACTTTAGATGGTGTGAACTGTATGGTATGTAACATAGCTCAATAAAACTTATTAAAAAAGAATATTTACAGTCACATACAAAAGATTATGGGGAAAACACTGGTAACTGTCTTTTTAGAATCTTGGATTTGAAAAGGTTTTTTAAAATATGTAAAAATCTCAAAAATCATTAAATCATTTGACTAAAAATTTAAAACATCTATATGACTCAAAAAATGATATAAACATAAAATACATTAATGCTTTCTTTAAGTGTCATTCTTTCTGTAAAGGCAACTAGAGTTATAAATCAGAAGCATTAAAAGACCAACATGAGGGAATGAAAAGATAATTCATAGAGTAGAAGAAAATATCTGCAAAACAGCTGATAAAGGGCTGTTATGCAAAATATAAAAAGAACTCATAAAACTTAAGAAAAACAAACACCTCAATTAAAAAATGAGCAAAAGATCTGAACTGACAACTCACCAAAGAAATGAAGATATACAGATAGAAAATAAGCATATGAAAAGATGCTGAACATCTTATGTTATTAGGGAACTGCAAATTAGATACTACTACACATCTATTAGAATGGCTGAAATCTAAAACAAGACAACACCAAATGCTGATGAGGATGTGAAGTAATAGAAAGTCTCATTCATTGCTGGCAGGAATGCAAAATGATACAGTCATTTTGGAAGACAGTTGGGCAGTTTCTTACAAAGCTAAATATGCTTTTAACATATGACCCAACCATTGAGATACTTGGTATTTACCCAAATGAGTTGAAAATTAATCTACACAAAAACCTGCAGTCAAGCAAGATGAATAAGCTCTGGGAATCTGCTGTATAACACTGTACCCATGGTCAACAATAATGTTTTATACATTTAAATTTTTTTCAAGAGGGTGTATCTCATGTTAAGTGTTCATATGATAATAAAAGACAGAAAATATTCAGGATTAAAAAAACACTTCCCATGAATTTTTACAGCAGCTTTATTCATAACTGTCAAAACTTGGAAGACGTCCTTCAATGGGTGAATGGATAAACAGACTGTGGTGCATCCATACAATGGAATATTATTTATTACTCAAAAGAAATGAGCAATAGCCATGAAAATACATGGAGAAAACTTAACTGCGTATTGAAAGAAATCAATATAACATTCTGGAAAAGGCAAAACTATAGAGACATTAAGAAGGTGATTGCCAGGGGTTCAGAAAGAGAGAAGAAGGGATGAATAAGTCAAACTCAGGGAATTTGGGGGCGGGGAGTGGGGGACTGAAACTATTCTGTATGATAATGTAACTAATGACAGATACATGTCATTATACATATGTCAAAACCCACAGAATGTACAACTATTGTAAACTATTATTAATAATAATGTATCAACATTGGTTCGCCACTTGTACCAAATTTACCACACCAATGCAAGATATTAATAGGGAATGAAGGAGTTATGGAAACTCTATGTAAATTCTGCTCCATTTTTCTCTAAACCTAGAACTGCTAACAAAAAATAAAATTTATTATTTAAAAACAAAGACAAAAGGGGCAACGTAAAAAAGTCAGTGGTTAAGTGCACAGGATTTGGAGTCTGTCTACTTTGTGTTTGAATTCTTTTAATAGCAATGAAACTTTCAGCAAGTTATTTAACTCTTCCCTATTGCATTAGCTCTCAAGTTTATGGTAAATCTTTGCCTTGAAAATACGATGGCATAGGATCTATTATGTGTCTTACACAAAGCAAGTAGCTAATGTATTTGTTAAATGGACAGAAACCTTCCTAGTTAAAATTTCAACTGTCATCCAAAAACATGCAAATCTATGGTTTAATTTCCTAAAACTAATTCTTTAATTCTAGGGCAATAATAATAATGAGGACTTTTCTAATTCTTAACTTGTCTCTTATAATGAAGCATCTATCTGCAAATGATCACTTTTCTAAATATGGCCTACAACAAATAAACAGTAAAGATCAACAAAGACTTTTGCATGGATTTGGAATATAGGGTGGGACAAAAGTAGTTTTACAGTTCATATGAAAAATAATACAATAATTAGTAAACAATAATACAAGGATAAAGTCTGTTTTGCATACCCACAATTGTAAATCTACTTTTGTCCCACACTATATATAATAAAATTTACATTTTCATAAACAAGAACAGTTAAGAATTTTCTATTTTAATACCACATCTTATCCTTCATGACCTTATGACATATTTGGGGCAGCTACAATTCCCATTTAGAATAGAGTGAAAGAAATTAAGAAAATTCCAGCCAAGCTGAGTCTCAGTCCTTCCATCATCAGTCAAATTCTGAGACTACAGTGGGTCTGAAATGATATCTGAAGTGATGGAACCTGAGCTGTGGTGAAATAAATTATTTTCTTTCTGGCATAGGATAATTATTTTTATTCATTAAACCCAATTGCAGAATTAATATATTTTTATGTTTTATTCTTTCCAATAAAATGATTTAAAAAAAAATCTTCATGCAAGATGTGTTTATTGATTTTAGAGAGAGAGGAGGGGAGTGAGAGAGACAGAAAAACAATGATCAGTTGCCTTCTATAAGCGCCCTGACCAGGGATTGAACCTGCAACCTCTTGGTGCAAGGGACAATGCCCCAACCAACTTGGTCACCCAACCAGGGTTCTCCAATTAAATGATTTTTTTTTTTTTACTAAAGTAAAAACCTGGCACCAGACAATCAATAATAAAAGATTATGATGACTGCAGAAGGGGAAGAGATTTGGAATGACAGCGCTAAGGCCTTTTAAACACTAAACGTGCAGCTGGTGTGATTCAGTGGTTGACTGTGGACCCATGCACCAAGAGGTCGCTGGTTCGATTCCCGGTCAAGACACATGCCCAGGTTGTGGGCCAAATCCCCTGTCGGGGGCATGCAGGAGGCGGCCAATCAATATTCTCTTTCATCGATGTTTCTCTCTCTCTCTCCCTCTCACTTCCTCTCTCTCTAAAAAATCAATAAAGAAAAAAAAAAATTTTTTTTAAAGTCTGTTTTTTATAATCATTCTTAAGTTGGCAAGTAAACCAATTTTCTCTATTTCCAAATGCATAGTAAAAACTGTTTTATCAGGAATACTTATTTAAACCTTAGATAATCCTTCACATATCCTAAATCTTTAAAAAACGTATATAAGATAGAAAAAGATAGAACTCAGTTCCAGAGTTCAAATAGATACATACAGTAATATCATTCAAAACAACATTTACTAAATTATCTATATTTTTATTAAAAATATTTAAAGTTTTAGTTTAGTGTAGCATTACAGTAGTTTACTGTTAAGAAGTTATCATTTGCTTCTGCAAATTGATGATTTGGTATCAAAACTGTAATTCTATTGTTTATACAGCTAGTGATTTTCTTGAGAATATTTGGAACTGGGTAGTCTAATTTTCTCCTGGGGGTAAAAAAAAAAAAAGTCATGACCTTCACTCCTTTTCTGAAAACAAATCTGATATTTCACTTTAAAAATGTGTACACTTAGGCACCTTGGCTGAATTTTGGTAGAGAAGTGAGCTCAAAAGTCCACTGAACTCATAACATCACCCTATTAAAGTCACTAACACTAGGCTGTGAAAACGGCAATGATTTAAGCATCCAAGGAAAATGGAAATGGTAATTTTGTTAGCATTTAGGCCAAGAAGGACTTCTAACTTCAACTAAATTAGGCAATAGGGCAGACAGCATCTGACTACTTTGCTATTCCCCTGGAAAAAATCCCCAAAACATATCTACACATTAGGTGTAGTAATACATGCATGAGTAAAAGGAACTTTAAACAAAATTCTACTTAGTTAATATATAATGGTCAAATTTGACAGAATTCAACTTTAATGAAATTTACATAAGAATATCCTTTAATTTGCTGTATGTATACTTGTTTATTCCATAACCAAAAATTAACCTAAATAATAAAATAAAAATTAAGCCAGTTGTGAGAGAATTTAAGATCCTGTAGTGAACTTTTTTGGAATTTTCAAACTTTTTTTAAAGTAAAACATGACAAAACACCATCCAACTACATCATTCTACCTTTTTTTTTTTTAAGTGAAAGGAAAGGTAATGTAGTATTTTTCACGAGCCATCGTGAGGGTTCCAGGGGCACCCCCTAACACGATAAGCCCCTAGGGTTAATTTTAGACAATGTAGGAAAATTCCTGGCTCCCCATATAATTAGGCAGCATATGAATATTAATCATGATGTGACAGATCAGACTTCCAATTATTAAAAATGGGCGAGGATGGCGCCCAAGACGCAACTTAGGTCAAGACCAAGGAGAAAAACTATGCAAATATTATTTTATCCATTTCCAACAATGTAACTGGTAACACCTGAGCTTTGGGATAAGGGTCAGGGCCAGGATTTGGGACCATTGAGCTCAGGAGTCCACAGGGGGCCGTGCTGATAAATTCCCTCCGCTCATGACCTTTAGCCTAGTTGTCAATTCTTCGGAGTGGGAGGATCCCAGGGCCCACCACAAGGCGCAGACAGCGCGACCTTTGTCCTAGTTTAGCTGGAGAAAGCCAACGAAGGGGAAATGGGAGGAGCGAGGTGCCTACAGACTCCAGGTGTGACCCTGTCAGTTTTTCCCTAACCACTCGACCTTTCCCACTTGTTCGCCTCCCGACATTCCCTCTCACCGGGGCAGGACAGCTTGGCCAGCGGCACCAACATGTTCACTGTAATCAGGACACTCGTCGGACACAGCGGAAGGAGGACTGCCAGTGGCTCGCCGCGGGTGCTGGACCTCTAGGCCTCGTGGGGTGCCATGACCTGCCCCGAGGCACAAAGCTGAAGTTTGCCTCTCGGCTCAGTCGACCGCTTTGGCTTCACGGCGTTCCCGCCTCTCTCTCGTTCTGCGCCGGCGCCACGCGTGACGCACAGGCCAGCAGCGGTTTCCGGGTCTTGTACCCGAGAAGGAGAAGGAAAGGGACTCCAAATCCCAGCGCGGCCTGAGACCTCAGGTTGTGGGTTGAGCCTGGGCTGCGGTCTCACGAGTTCCATAGTGCAACGCGCCCGCAGCCACGCGTAAGGCATGCTGGGAGTTGTAGTCTTCTGCTGAAGAACCTTCTAAGCCTGTGTGGAGCTTTGTGCTGGGGCGGTGAGTTGCCCGGAGTGGATCGACTGGAATCTGATTGGCGGTCGGAAAAATGTACCGTCTTCGCGGGCAGACACCCACAAGGAGACTGGGCGGGACTTCGGAGAGAGGAGGCGGGGCTCCTGGGGTTAGGGCGCGAGCAGTTGAAAGGTAGTTGGTGTCGGTTCCGCTCGGCTCGGATTCGGCAGCCCCAGCACTTCATGGCAGACCCCGAGGAGATGCGGGTTTCTTCGCAGCCCCCGCCGCCTTCCTTCTCTCCCTCGTCTTCTGACGCCTCTTCACCATCTCCCCGCGGCGGCCCAGTGAGTTTGGACTGGCCAGTTCCAAGCAGGAGCAGCGGCCGAACGGTGGACCGGCTGGAGGAAGTGGAGCTGCAGATCGGAGACGTGAGTGTCGTCGGGCAGGTCCCGGGCCGCGCCCCCATTCGGCGCCCGTTGGAGGACGGCCCGCGGCGGGGCGGGGAGGGAGGGCCTGGGAACCCGCACACCCAGCCCGGCGCGTCCGGTCCTCCTGCCTCCTGATGGTTCCGCCTTGAGATACAGTGTCGAGGAGGTAGGGGTATACCTCCACCTTCCCTATCCCTCAGTCTTTTCTTTTAGCCTCGCCTTCTGGTTTCTATCATCCCTGTAACCCGAAACCGCGCAGCTCTGCTGCCAGGACGTGTGCGGGCTGTCTGCCCTCGCACCCTCTCCCCTGGCTGGCTCTGGGCGCTTGGGATCAGGCTGTGATTTCTCTCTCCGCGGGACTGACGAGCCCGCTGTTCTATTTGGCCACCTGCCCAGAGCCGACTGACAATGCTTTTGTCTATCCCGGGCTTGCTTTGCGCTGGTCCCGGTTTGGAGGAGTGAGCCCCCGCCCCTGTAGCCCAGATGGGTTTCGTTAACGGTTATAGTCAAAGATCCCTCCCTATGATTGCTAGAATATGTGGTCTGGTTGGTTTCAGTTGAGTCTCGAATTTCCAGAAACTAATGCGCGCGCGCGTACGCACACACACTGCACCCCCCACCCCCGCAACCCTAACACACAGACACCATCGGAGAGGGGTCACAGTTTCAGTATTTAAAGACTCTTGAGTGGATCAAGTGAATGAAGCATTTAGAGTGTAATCTTCCTGAGAGAACGTTATGAAATAGACCCTCCTGTGCAGATTGGAAACTGGGGAGTGAACTCGATTATATCATGGCTCAAGTATTTGTTGTTGTTGGTTTTTTTTTTTTCCTTCCAAAAATGAACAAGTCTGATACAGCGTCTATTTTTGTTGAACAAGATGGGTTTCAAGTGAACACGTACAGTCAAGTGCAGATGTGTTATCTAGGAACAGTTTTGATTTATATCGTAAGTGAAGAAAACATTTAGGAAATGAGATTTACACCAAGAGTTGGATATTTTTTGCATGTATTTTGATTATGTTGATTTTGTCAGCTCACAGTATCTTTTCTTTGGTGTATACATTTTCATAGTCTAAAGTGTTCACAGGTAAAAAAGAGGGAACAATGCCCCTGTTACCCAAATATCAGTAAGAATTGTGATGAAGTCCTTCAGCTTCTTCTGGTACTTAATGTCAAGGGATCCAAGTCACCTTGTTGAGCTAAATGAGACTACCGGCTTGCTATGTCTCAAACATATTGGGTATCTTTCTAGCAGACATATTTCCTCAAAGCTTAATTCATATTAAAGAATTTTTTAGGTTCCCTGAAAGAGCTGGTGTTTTAATTTGAAGTTTTTTACTTTTAAAGAAAATAATTTAGGCATTGGATTTTAAGGTTTTAAGCTATTTTTAGACCATTTATAAATGACATGAGTGTAAAGAATAACCTTCTATTGTTATTTTTTTTCTTTAATTTCAGGCAGCATTTTCATTAACCAAACTTCTTGAAGCCACATCTGCAGTATCAGCTCAAGTGGAAGAGCTTGCCTTGAAATGTACGGAAAACGCACGTTTCCTTAAAACATGGCGGGACCTCTTGAAAGAAGGCTACGATTCTTTGAAGCCTGACAACTGATTTGACTGTAGAAAAACTTATGCTTCCTCTTTTATGATATTTTCACATGTACTATATGTATAGGATAATCTCCAGTAGTTCTATATACTAAAAATGAAATTTTTCTTGGTTTTCTTCACTTTTGTGAAAGCAGAATACTGTTATTTTTGATGCTGGCTAGTATTTGTTTACCTTAAGTACTTTGTCTAAACTTTCATAAAGTTTATGAAAGTTGATTTCATCAGTAGATAATACCACAGTGTTACCAGGAGCAACCTAGGTAGAACATTATTCAATTTACAAGAAGATGCCAAGAATGGCAGCATTTGAAGTTGAGCTTCATTTTTATGGTCCAAGGAAGGTAACTTTAAGGTTAGTAATATTAGATCTAGCTCTATTAGTCTAAGTTCTCTATAACCAACCACTATATCTTATTTACTTCCATATCTCCAGCACCTAGAACAGTGTCACGTAAAAGAGTCAACCTCATTGACTTGAAGGAAAAAAAAAAATTTTTTTTAATGGGGATTTGAACTTTAACTGATAACAGCTTTTTAAAATGTATTTTTTGCCCTTCTATGATGCTTTTTAAAAAAGGCTTGTACTTCAGAAAATGAAAGCATATATAGAAAGAATTTTCCCCCTATTTATTTCTAAGATTAACTGCTTCTACAAATATTTTTTGCATTCCATGTTGTTAGGCCTTTGATTGTTATCTAAAGTGCCTTATCACAATTATGGCTCTGTACTATTACTTTTGGAGCTTTAAACAGTAATTCTAAATGCTAAATATAATAATTTTAAAGAAGTAACTGTTTTTTAATATGATTATTTTCATATTATGACTTTATTGATAATGTTCTGTTTTACTTGTCTTTTATCTTATGTTGCTTGTCTCTCCCTCTTTTTTTTCTTTATTTTTTTTTTTTTTTAAGAGAGGAAGGGAGAGGGAGAGAGATAGAAATATCAGTGAGAGAGAGAACATCGACTGGCCATCTCCTGCATGCCCTCCACTGGGGATTGGGCCCACAACCTGGGCATGTGCCCTGACTGGAAATCGAACTTGTTGCATGGGTCAATGCTCAACCACTGAGCCACACCGGCAGGGCTCTCCCCCCCTCTCTTTGGTGGTTTGTGTCATATGTCAATGATTAAGCCAACTAGTTCTGTACTATATAACTTTGGACATTTTTGATATAACATCTTAATTCCTTGTAGATATGGAGATGTATATAGAACTGTATTCTAACGCTCCACAATGGGGTTATGAAAGGGGACAAATGGATGGAAAAGAATAGTTTTGTTTAGCATATTAGGTCATAGTTTTATTTTTTATTGATTTTTTTTTTTTTTTTTTTTTTTACAGAGAAAGGGAGAGAGAGAGAGAAACATGATCAGCTGCCTTCTGCATGCCCCCTACTGGGGATCAAGCCCACAACCCTGGCATGTGCCCTGACCCAGAATGGAATTGGTGCCATGCTCAGTTCACTGAGTCACACTGGCTGGTCATAGGTCTTGATTTTTTTAAGTTAAAGACACACAAATATGCGTATTTTGATATTAGAAAATATTTTTCTTATGTGTCATGAAAATTGAAATTTTAAAATGTACAAAAATAAACTTGTTAAAAGCAAATTTTATTTCTATCTCTTTGGTTTCATTGTTGTAAATGTTTTTTTTGAAATATTTCAAACATAACAGGAAAGGTGAATGATTTAACAGGCACCAATGCATCTCCATTATATAGATTTAATAAATGTTAGCATTTAGCTATATTTTCTTCAGATCTATGTATATGTAGAGGTAACTATTTGGAGAATTGGAAGGATGGAAGAGTGAGAGAATTAAATAGACAGGAAACCAAATGACTTCCAGGAAAATATATGAAAATATTTTAGATGTTAAAAGCAGTTTCAGATGTGTATTTTGTAAATTCACAGCATTTCTAAGACCCTTAAACATTGGTCACAATCTTATTGTGGGAATACATTTTATTCTGTCTTCAGGATTACTGCTTTTTTATTCTTTTCTAGATACTCTTTTTAAGAAAAATAATTTTCCATTCCATTATTTAATAATAGTAGTAATACTCTAGTCCTGGCTGAATCGCTTAGCTAGTTAGAATGTCATCCCTATATACCGAGGTTGCGGGTTTAATCCCTGGTCAGGGCACATACAAGAACCAACCAATGAATACATAAATAAGTGGAATAACAAAACAATGTTTCTCTTTCTTCCTCTCTCTCTAAAAATCAACTTAAAGAATAAATAAAATGATCAGGAGGAGTTAAGAAAATAAAAAAATAGTAAAACTTTATTTATTTATTTTGTTAATCCTCACCTGAGGATATTTTTCCATTGATTTTTAGAGAGAGTGCAAGGGAAAAAGGGAGGGGAAGGGGGGAAACAGCGATGTAAGAGAGAGACGTTGATTAGTTGCTTCCTGTACAACCTTGACTGGGGCCAGAAATTGAACCTGCAATCCAGGTACATGCCCTTGACAGGGAATCAAACCCATGACCCTTTGATCCGTGGGCCAATGCTCTACCCACAGAAAAACTGGCCAGGGCAATAATACTTTAATAATTCTAACAATCTTCTAAAATAATTTAAATGTATTTTTACTTTTTAAAAAGATTTTAAAAAATTATAGTCTAAGTAGAGAATTGAATATTATAAGAATTACAGCTTTCTATTCTGCTTTTTATTGGAAGTATACCACATTTCTCATGCTGAAAACTTATTGGAACCATTCCAAGTAAGAACAGAAAGGACTCAAAGCACTCCATATTTTTAGTAGAATTAAATTTCAGGTAATTTATTTTCAAAAGAAATCTATACAATTATATACTCAATAAATATGTTTTGATTCCAGTATTTTCATGTTTCAAACATTTTTGGTATATTGAAAAGTATTTGAAAACATTGTATTCCTTCTTAAAGGTTTCAGATTCTGAAAGCATAAAATTCCTATTGCTTAGACATCAGAAGAATTAACTAGCAAAAAAAGTATCTTATGATCTGGATGGCTGTGCAAACAGAAGGTAAATCTATCTCTTGATGACAACTGCTTCGTCAGAGCAAAACATGTACATACAGACTTTTCCTTCCTGAAGTTAAGTTTCTGAATGTGTGCATTCTAGCTCTTCTTTCTTTTTCCTTTTACTGCTTTATTGAGCTATAACTCATGTACCATAAAATTCATCAATCTAAACTGTATACTTCAGTGGCTTTTAGTGTATTCACAGAGTTGTTTATACATCACCATAATCAATTTTATAACTTTTTCTTTTGCCCTAAAAGATACTCTCCGCTTCTTAGGCATCACCCTTCCAACCTTCCCACCCCCAGTAAACTCTAATCTTTCTGTATCTATGAATTTGCTTATTCTAGATATTCATGCAAGTGGAATCAATCATACAGTATTTGTCCTTTTTTGTCTGGCTTATGTCACATTCATATGTATATATATATATATATTTATCCTCACCCGAGGACATTTTTCCATTTTTTGTTCAGATAGAGTGGGAGTAAGAGAGAGAGAAACATCGACGTGAAAGGGACACATCGAGTGGTTACAACCCACATGACCCAACCAGGGCCGGGGACAAATTGCAACTGAGGTATGAGCCCTTAGCAGGAACTGAACCTGGGTCTCTCTGGACCACAGGCTGACGCTCTAACTGCTCAGCCAAACTGGCCAGGGCAGCACATTCATTTTTTATGGCTGAATAATATTCCACTGCATGTATATACTACATTTTGTTTATCTGTTCATCAGTTGATAGGCACTTGGGTTGCTTCCGTCTTTTGGCTACTGTGAAAAGTGTCACAATGAGCATTTGTATATGTGTATCTGTTTGAGTCCTGCTTTCTTTCTTTGTTTTTATAAAACAATTTTTTCCCTTTATTGATTTTAGAGAGAAAGGAGAGTGAGAAAAACACTGATGAGAGAGAACATCGACTGGCTGCCTCCTGCATGCCTCCCACTGGGGATTTGGCCCACAACCTGGGCATGTGTCTTGACTGCAAGTCGAACCAGTGACCTCTTGGTGCATGGGTCAACACTCAACCATTGAGCAACACCGGCCAGACTTCAATCCGGCTTTCAACTCTTGGGTTCATACCCAGAACTGAAATTGCTGGATTGTATGGTAACTGTATGATAAGCGTTTGAGGAACCACTAATTTGTTTTCTATAGTGGCTGCAGCATTTTACATTCAAACCAGCAAATTGGAAGGAGTTTCAATCTTCTTATTCTTGCCAACGTGTTATTTTTAAAATTATAGCCCTCTTAGTAGGTGTCACATGTTAGCTCATTACAGTTTTGATTTGCACTTTCCTAATGATTAGTGATACTGAGCATCTTTTCATGTGTTTATTGGCCATTAGTATATCTTCTTCGGAGAAATGTCTGTTCAAGTCCTTTACCCATTTTTTAATTGGGCTGCTTGTCTTTTTTGTTGAGTTGTAGGAGTTCTTTAAATATTTTGGATATTAACTCCCCTCAGATATATGATTTCTAAATGTTTTCTTTAATTCTGTAGGTTGTCTTTTCACTTTTTTGATGTCCTTTGATACACAAAAGTTTTTAATTTAGATGAAATCCAATTTGTTTTCCTTCTGTTGCTTATGCTTTTGTTGTCATATCTAAGAATCAGTTGCCAAATCAAAGGTGCTGAAGATTTACCCATATGTTTTCTTCTAGAGCTTTATATCTTATATTTAGTTTGTTGATTCATGTTGAGTTAATTTTTGTATATGGTGTAAAGAAGGGGTCCAACTTCATTCTATTGCATGTGAATTCTCCCAGCATAATGTGTTGAAAAGACGTCTTTCTTCATTTGATTGTCTTGGCATTTTTGTTGGAAATCATTTGACTATAAATGTGAGGTTTTTATTTCTGGAGTCTCAAATTCTATTCCATTGATCTAAATGTCTGTCCTTATCCCAGCTTTTCACTCCTTAGCAATAATTTCACACTCCTTTTCCAATCCCACATGATGGTTCTCAAAGCAAAAACACAACTAGGCAGGAAATGACAGAGAAGTTCTGTTTTGAGTTGATATCAGAACATTTTTTTCATAGCAATAAATATATTGGCTCTCAAGTGTATGAAGACTTGAAGAGAGTTAAGATGAATTCTTAAAACAGAGTCTCTGTATTTTGCAAACAATCAGACATCTTCTCTGATGCTAGTGTGTTACAAAACCTTAAACCCTTATTTGAAAGTGTCCATGATTCTTATGTTTGCTGATATGCATAACAGACAAAACCCTACCTTAACCTAGGAGCTGCAGATGTACTTTATATGTTCTGCTGTAGACAGTTTAACATTGAACATCGAAAAGGTTCTATACTGTCTACTTTTAGGAACTGACTGCAGTGTTGTGCATATAGTGGATACTTAAGAAATGCAAAAAGAATCAGTGACTCTTAAGTAGAGTTCTCTTAAATTTCCTATGCAAAAAATGTGCTAGTATATACACATTATCAATATAACTTATTTCCCTAATTTATTTTAGCCATTAATGTAAATCATTAATTTTGTGAAATGCATTTTATACTAATAAATCACTTGTGAAGCACCCTAGTGGGCTTCAGTCAGTTATGAACAGGAATTGAGTCTAGTTGATTGAGACGTTAGTGACAATTCATTGGGGTCTGTGAAAAGACCTGGCTTC